GTTCGAAAATTAACGAGTACAACTCAATTTTCCGAAGGTCTTCTTTCTTTTCACAGGTTATTTCATTTAAATTATATTTCCTTCGTATTCTTTCATCCGCACATTCGCAAAAGGACACAGTATGCAAGCCTATCTTACTAGCTTCGGGAAATAATTGAATCACTTAATCTTTTTTTTAGTAAAAATACCCAATCGCGAAATGTCATACCACATTTACCTACGTAAACGTCATAGCCTAAGGAAGCTCAGCGGCCTGTCTCTCTCGTTGTAGTAATAAGGAAAGTTGTGAGGTACAGAAGTTAGAAAGCATGCGCGTGGAAAAATGGAACAGACGTAGCCTCAGGGGCGTACGCTGGCTCATGAGAGTTGGTTGTCATAACAAACAGCAGGAACGGAACGAGCGGTTTCCTGGTGGCGTAGGCTCACCAGTAAACCTTCTGCAATGACGACGTTTTCAGTGCTTACCTTAGAGGTGACTTCTTCGGAGGACTCCAGTTCACGCTTCCGCGCAGTCACACGCTCGGGAACGACTCCGCAAAACTTCACCGTCTGCCGGATGACAGAGTTTGGAATATAACCTTGGGAAGTGGTGGTAGGGGAGAACCAAAGATATTCGACTTTATGCTTTGGTCAAAGCCATAAATTATGATAATTATGAATAAAAAACGCATTTTACAGCTTTTATAGAAATACTAGATTGCTTCCTACACAATAAAAACACCAAACTGAACCCCCGCCCCTCTCAGGAAATGTGGGGAGAGTTTAGGTACCAAACTATGGCCACCGCAATCAGCGCCAAAAACAAGGAAGTTCGTCAGGCAGGCAATCATTCCGAAACCGCTGTTAGACATGTACCGCCTAGTCATATTTTTATGTGGTAGGATGCTGTTACCCTTACTAGTTTACCTAAGGTATTGATTCCGTAAGAACGGATAGCAAGCTACTGTTATACTTGCAAATGCATTTAAAAAGGACTATTACTCGATTTTTTAAATGCAAAAGGATCCCTCATTGAATAATGAAAGATGAAAAAATATTTTTCTACGAACTGAGTGAAAAAATTGATAGTTTTTTTGAGTGTGTCAACGATAGGTTGTGTAACGCGGCTTTGCAACCCATGGCCACAAGCCCGCGAAAAACGAGAGTGGCGTTAATAGGGTTTTTTATGGATAAAAAGCACGAACGTGTGGAGACAACAATAAGGATCTTCGTTCAAAGGAGCGTGAAATTGAAGTATGCTTTTCAGTTTAAGAATCTGCGCGCATATATATACACGGTGTGTCGTAATGGTTATGTCGCAAATGCCTAGCGAAGTGCTAGCGGCCGCGGAACAACCAACCCCATAGTTCTAACCAACCGGAAACTTATATTTATAATTAATACATTGATAATTTATCTAATTAATAATTGAATAAATAAACGTTAATTAATTAAATTATAGAATGTCAAAGGCACAGATATGATATTCCCAGAATCAAAGCTATTTGGTAATCTCAAAACGATAGCCATAACTACTCAGTATGATAAAAGACAATAGTGCGAGATCCATTCATACTTTAACCTCCTCTTAAAAACAAACCATAAATGAGGTTTCCATTTGTAGTGAAGGGGGCACTGCTGCAACAAGATAAAATGGTTCAGTCAGTCTTTTTGGGACAGTGATTAAGTCACGGTGTAGGCGTTTGCCAACAAATTCTGTTTGTATATGCCATACAGACTCAAATTCACAAAGGGTTGCTTCACCTAGTTATGATATAACAAATATGTCAACCCTACTAACAAAACTACAGTAGGTATTTATATATACTAAACCCATTGAGGTTAAACAAGCTGCCCCTATCAATAAACCCCGATCAGCCTAGCATAGAAGGAGGAAATAAACAGAATATTGTACACATTCAAAGAAGCCTTTCATTTTGCGATGTTGGATTTAGGTCCGACCGGTGAGAGGCTAGACTGGAGAACGACACTGTTTTCAGTAATTTAACAGTATGTTACGCACTAATCGGCATAGCAACCCAACGTTCCTAAGGCGGCGTAACTCATTAAACATTAAAGACCTCATTAAAGTTGATCTCGTTTAGTAAAGGTCAATAAGGTATACTGTTACTAATGCTTATATTGCAGACTAATCCACAAGTGCTTTGGTCATGTCAAGCTTTCAACATTTAAAATCGACTTCGGATCGTCTGCTCACACTAAAAATGACTAGTTACCTAGGACGCCTCTTCAAATCGAAACACATTTGTTTTTTAAAAAAAAGCACGCATAAGCCCATTTTTACATATACGATATCGCGTTCATCATCTCCCAAATGTAAGGAAGAAGAAGAGGGGACGGTTAATGGACCAAATTATATTTGCTTTGACGTTTCGAAAACCTTCTCGCTTCCAGCGCAAACAGCGCAAACACGAATTCGCCTTTGAGAAAGCGAGGGTGATCGGCAGGGCTAATGAGAAAATGGCCAGGCTAGTGCTGGAAAGTTGGTCCTCCACTGGCACAATCAACAGAACTATCGACCTGAACCTTGCCTACCAAGCGCTTCGTACAAGGCTCGGATCAAGTCGGGCAGAGCCAGTAGGGAAAACGAGTACGCAGGACCGAGAGCCAACGCCCACGGAAAATAGGGGTGGAGG